TAGTTTTCATTGTAGATGTTTTTCACCTCTTTTGTTAGGTTGATTCCCAGGTATATTTTTTTGAGGCTATTGTGAATGGAGTAGTTTTCCTAATTTTTCTTTTAGTGGATTCATCACTGATGTATAAGGATGCATTTGATTTATGGGTCTTGATTTTATATCCTGCTACTTAGCTGAGTTCATTTATTAGTTCTAGAAGTTTTCTGGTGGAATTTTTTGGATCTTATAGATATAGAATCATGTCATCAGCAAACAGTGATACTCTGAATTCTTCTTTACCTATTTGTATCACTTTGATTTCTTTCTTTTGTCTAATTGCTTTGGCTAGAGTTTCAAGGATAATGTTGAATAGAAGTGGTGAAAGAGGACATCCTTGTCTTGTTCCAGGTTCTAGAAGGAATGTTTTCAATTTTTCTCTATTTAGAATGATGCTGGCCTTGGGTTTAGCATATATAGCTTTTGCAATATTGAGACATGTTCCTACTATTCTTAGTTTTTCTAGTGTTTTGAACATGAAGGTGTGCTATATTTTGTCAAATGCCTTTTCTGCATATATTGAGATGATCATATGATTCTTGTTTTTAAGTCTATTAATATGGTGAATTAAGTCTTTTGATTTCAATATGTTGACCAACCCTGCATCCCTGGGATGAACCCCACTTGATCGTGGTGCACTATATTTTTAATATGTTTTTGTATGCAATTTGCTGGAACTTTATTTAGAATTTTTGCAACTAAGTTTATCAGGGATATTGGTCTAAAATTTTCTTTCTTTGGTGTGTCTTTGTCGGTTTTGGTATCAGGGTGATATTAGCCTCATAGAATGAGTTTAGAAGGGTTCCCTCCCTTTTTATTTCATGAACACAAAGGGGTGCTGTATTTTGTAAAATGCTTTTTCTGTGTCTATTGAGATGATCATATGATTCTTTAAGTCTATTGATGTGATGAATTACATTTATTGATTTCCATATGTTGAACCAACTTGCATCCCTGGGATGAATCCCACTTGATCATGGTGCACAATTTTTTGATATGTTTTTGTTTTTGATTTGCCAGAATTTTATTGAGAATTTTTGCATCTATGTTCATTAGAGATATTGGTCTGAAGTTTTTTTTTCTTTGATGTGTCTTTGCCTGGTTTTGGGATCAGGGTGATACTGGCCTCATAGAATGAGTTTGGAAGTGCTGCCTCTTTTTCTATTTCCTGAAATAAATTGAAGAGTATTGGTATTAGTTCTTCTTTAAAGGTCTTGTAGAACTTGATTGTGTATCCATCTGGTCCTGGGCTTTTCTTGATTGGTAAGCTTTTGATGGCTTCTTCTATTTCCTCACTTGATATTGATCTGTTTAAATTGTGTATATCTTCCTGACTAAATCTGGACAAATTATATGACTAAAGAAATTTGTTGATGACTTCAATGTCTTCTATTTTATTGGAGTATAAGATTTCAAAATAATTTCTAATTATCCTCTGTATTTCTGTAGTGTCTGTTTCATCACGTATGCTGGTAATTTGAGTTTTCTCTCTTCTTCCCTTTGTTAGCGTGGCTAAGAGTCTGTCAATTTTATTTATTTTTTCAAAAAACTAACTTTTTGTTTTGTCAATTTTTTCAATTGTTTCTTTTGTTTCAATTTCATTGATTTCAACTCTAGTTCTAATTATTTCTTGCCTTCTACAGCTTTTGCTGTTGGTTTGCTCTTCTTTTTCTAGGGCTTTGAGATGTAGTGTGAGTCATTTATTTGTTGACTTTTTCTTCTTTTAAGGGATGAACTCCATGCAATGAATTTTCCTCTTAGTACTGCTTATATAGTGTCGCAGAGATTTTGATATGTTGTGTCTATGTTCTCATTTAACTCTAAGAATTTTTTAATCTCCTCTTTGATGTCTTCTATGACCCATTTTTCATTCAGTAGCATATTGTTTAGTCTCCAGGTGTTAGAGAAATTTTTAGATTTTATTGTCATTGATTTCCAATTTTATTCCATTATGATCTGATAAAATGCCTGGTAGTATCTCTACTTTCTTGTATTTGCTAAGAGTTGCTTTGTGGCATAGTATATGGTCTATTTTAGAGAAGGATCCATGTGCTATTGAGAAGAAAGTATATCCACTTAATGCAGGTTGAAATATTCTATATATGTCAGTTAAGTCTAAGTTATTGATTGTGTTATCTAGTTCTATAGTTTCCTTATTCATCTTTTCTTTGGAATATCTATCCATTGGTGAGAGGTGTGTTAAAGTCACCCAAGATTATTGCGTTGTGGTCAATTTGACTCTTGAACTTGAGAACAAGGGTTTGTTTGATGAACATAGCTGCACCATTGTTTGGGGCATATATATTTATGATTGTTATGTCTTGTTGGTGTATGGTTCTTTTGAGCAGTATGTAATGTCCATTTTTATCCCTTTTGATTAACCTTGGCTTGAAGTCTACTTTATTTGATATGACTATGGAAACCCCTGCTTGTTTCTACCGTCCATGTGAGTGGTGTGATTTTTCCCAACTTTTCACCTTCAGTCTGTGTATATCTTTTCCTATCAGATGAGTCTCCTGGAGGCAGCATATTTTTAGGTCTTATTTTAATCCAATCTGGTAGCCTATATCTTTTGATTGGTGAATTTAAGCCATTATATTTAGGGTTACTATTAAGACATGATTTGTATTTCCAGCCATATTTGTTTATTTTTGTTATTTTACTTGAGTTGGCTTTCCTCTTTGATTAGTTTTTCCTTTAGTGTACTACCTCCCTCTGCTGATTTTCATTGCTGTTTTTCATTTCCTCTTCATGAAATATTTTACCAAGGATGTTTTGTAGTGCTGGTTTTCTAGCTATAAATTCTTTTAACTTTTGTTTATCATAGAAGGATTTTATTTCATCTTCAAATCTGAAGCTTAATTTTGATGGACACAAGATTCTTGGTTGGCACCCATTATCTTTCAGAGCTTGATATATTTTGTTCCAGGATCTTCTAGCTTTCAGAGTCTGTGTTGAAAAATCTTCCATTATCCTCATTGGTTTTCCCTTATATGTAACCTGATTCCTTTCTCTCATTGCTTTTAAAATTCTCTCCTTATTCTGTATGTTGGACATTTTCATTACAATATGCCTTGGTGTGGGTCTATTGTGATTTTGTACATTCGGCGTCCTGTAGGCTTCTTGAATTTGGATTTCCAATTTATTCTTCATGTTTGAAAAGTTTTGTGATATTATTTCATTGAATAGATTGTTCATTCCATTGGTTTGGATCTCTATGCCTTCCTCTATCCCAATACCTCTTAAATTTGGTCTTTTTATGCTATCCCATATTTCTTGAATGTTCTGCTTGTGGTTTCTTCTCATTTTCATTGTGTGTTTTATGTTCTTTTCAAGGTGATTTATTTGATCTTCATTGTCTGATGTCCTATCTTCTAAGTGGTCTACTCTGTTGGTGATGCTTTCATTTGAGTTTTTAATTTGGTTTACTATTTCTTTCATTTCAAGGATTTCTGTTTTTTTTTTGAGCAATCTCCAGAGAGAGAGCTCTAATGCAGCTTTCTCTGGGTCATTTTTATTGCAAATTTTCTCATCATTATAGATTCAGATACGCCATTGATTATACAATTTAAAACTTTTGCCAAGACATGACATTTTCTTAACCATGATTAAGGGTACAAAAAATGTAACATTAATTTACATTTTTCCAGGATATGACCTTTAGTTATTTAATTATTAAAAGTACAGAATCATTAATAAAATGCATCAATAATTTACATGTTTCAGATTTTTCCAAGATTTACTATTTTCTTATTAACTAATGCCAAACTACGTAACCAGACTCTAAGTCTCCTAACCTATCATTAACCTTTAAATTTAAAGTATACCTTTACTTTATTTCTAATCTAAAATACCCATCTAAAAAAGCCCGCTTAAATCTTATACTTAAAATATCCTAAAGTTTATAAATCATTCTTAAAACATATCAGAAACCCATACAACTAATAACTTAAGAATTTCTAAACCCCAAAATCTAAATAGGATAATATTTCTAACATCGTTGTAAAAATATATCTTATAAAGCTAATTTAATTAATTCCTAAATTTATTCTCATAAAACTGGTTGAGCTGCTTTCTCAAAGAGTTTCTTTGTTTCTCAGTCAAGGTGCACTAGTTCTCATATCTTTATAATCTTCCTCAATAGAAAGTAAGTTCTAAACATCAGTCCACTTTCTGCCAATATTAACTATATTCATCATAAAACCCTATGTAAAGTAAAAAAGGGTTTATAAAAAGAGAAGATTATATCTTTATATGTTTTAACTTTCCTAAGTGTATAATATAACTTTCCTCAATCAAAAATGAGACTACATATGGTGGGCTTTGTAAAATAAGCATAATAATTAGGTTTTCAAAGAGGCCAGAAATATGAGCTTGGGTTCTAGTTGATATAATCAATGTGGTGCCTAAAATTCTCATGACCTTTCAGAGGATGATTGTTGTCCATTATCAGATTTGTTCTCAGTGTTCTGAGATAGAAGAACAGCCTTCTACTTTGTCCTTGATATGCTGAGGGGAAGAAGAACAGCCTTCAAGGCATGAACTACCTGTTATGTTCTAGCCATCTGAAATTTAATTTGTTTGGCATTTAACATACTCATGCCTCCTGTCAGGAACATAAGCATGAAAATGAAAAGTCCCAATTATATAAAAAAGGGTCTCATGGTTTCAGTTTCCCACCAACCAGTGCGGCTTTGCCAGCATTCATCCTCACTGTGACCCTATTAAGACAGTGAGTGGGAGATCACCTTCACCATGCCTCAGTGATAGATGACCACCAGACTAAATCCCCAGTAGTATTTATAGATAGATAGATATATTCAAATATGTGAGCACTTTCTTCTCTTTGAATTGGACAAGAAATATTGATTTACCACATTTCACATTCAAAGAAATTTTCTATAGAAAACTTACTACATGGTAATGAGTGAAACCTTATTAACAGAAGACTTTGCCAATTGTTTTCATGAGTACAATTTCTCTGCACTATGGGTTCCTTCATGTAAGTGAAGCTGAGCAGATGTAACAAAGTCTTTACCACATTGTTTACAACCATAGAGCTTCTCTCCAATATGTGTTCTTCCATGTCTTTGAAGATTACTGGAACTAGCAAAGGCTTTGCCACGCCACTTACACTCATAGGGCTTCTCCCAAGTATGCATTCTTCTATGAATCTGAAGGTAACTGGACGTAGAAAAGGCTTTGCCACACTGCTCACACTCATAGGGCTTCTCTACAGTATGATTTTTTTCATGTGAGTGAAGGTAACAGGATGTAGCAAAGGCTCTGCCACACTGCTTACATTCATAGGGCTTCTCCTCAGTATGTGTTGTTCTATGTCTGTGAAGGCTACTGGATGTAGCAAAGGCTTTGCCACACTGCTTACATGCATAAGGCTTCTCTGCAGTATGAATTGTTTTATGTGAGTGAAGGCCAGAGAAATGAGTGAAGGCTTTTCCACACTTCTTACACTCATAGGGCTTCTCTCCAGTATGCGTTCTTCCATGAATTTGAAGGGAAGTGGATCTAGCAAAGGCTTTCCCACACTGCTTACAGTCATAGGGCTTCTCCCCAGTATGTGTTCTTTCATGTATTTGAAGGTCACTGGATCTATCAAAGGCTTTACCACACTGCTTACATTCATAGGGTTTCTCTCCAGTATGTGTTCTGTGATGTCTTCTAAGTAAACTGGGATAAGCAAAGTCTTTTCCACATATCTTACATTTGAAACGTGCATTCCCTGTGCGTGTGATCCTGTGCCTTTGGAGACTTGTGTGTGAAATAAAGGTTTGAACACCTTGTTTACATTGATAGAGTTTCTCTCCAGAATGAAAAGGCTTTCCCACATACCTCACATTGAAAAGGTTTACCTCCACTGTATGTTCTCATGTGTCTTTGAACATCTGTGGGAGAAGATGAGGCTTCACCACATTGTTTATATTCATAGGGTTGCCACCCAGTATGAGTATCTTCATGCCTTTGAATGTCACTGGAACAACTGGAAACTTTCCCATGTACTGTACTTTCATAGGGTCCATCTCCAGTTTGTATTAACATTTGTGTGTGAACACTTTTGAGAGAAAACAGGGATTGCCTGTGCTGTTTAAATTCACATGGCTTCTCTTCACATTCTCTCGTGCTTGTAGCATTTGTGTTCAGAGTGAGATGTGATGTGCCTATGAAGGAATAAAGTGCATATGAAGTCCTTGGCACACATATAACAACCACATGGATTTACTATATTAAAATTTTTCTTTGTCCAGTTAAGAAGTGGAATCTCATTGAAAGTTTCCCCACACTATCTTCTTGGCTGTTGAAGTTTACCACATGTCTTCTTCGAATAATGACCAGCATATTATCAATGCTCAATTCATTCATGATTTTATATTTATTTATAGGTCCTAGGCTTACATTACTACCAGCATCAGGTAAAGGCTAGGTTTTCTGATGTGTTCAAATTGCCTTAGAATGATCTCAGAATTTCTGATCTCATCTTCACCGTTTTTTTCATACCATTTGTTTTCTATAAAAGCCAGGTTTCTGAGGACTTCAAGCATCACATCTCTGTAAAGGTTCCTCTGGGAAGGATCCAGCAATGCCCACTCCTCCTGGGTGAAGTTCACAGCCACATCCTCAAAGGTCACTGAGATCATTTTTATCTTCCTAGGGGACCCAGTGTTCTCTTGAGGAACCCCTGAGCACCAGAGATCTCCGGGACACGGGCTGCTCAGAATCACCTAGGCCTTTTGGGCAGAACACATGGGGCCCAGAAAGAAGAGAGGAGTTGATGAGTTGTTTTTTGTATAACCTCTATCTCCTTGTTGAGGTGATCTTTTGCTTGTTGGATTTGTTTATGTAGTTCATTGTCAAAGTGATCTTTCACTGCTGTATTTGTTCTCTTGTGTCTTCTTTGAGATCCCAAAACATTTTAGCCATGTATATCCTGAGATCTTTCTCTGTAATTTTTTCTGCTGTAGCTGCCAATGCTTCTAACGATGTGTGGTCTTGATTTGTTTGTGGTACTTTCTTCCCTTGTCTTTTCATGTTGCTCATGTGTCTTCCTTTCCAGCTCTGTGCATCTGGTATGTTATTGTTTTTACCCTATAGATTTGTAGTGCTCTTATAGGGTTTAAAGATCTCTTTTTTGTGGGGAAGGACAATGTTAACACATCCCAATATTAACAATACATGACCTATAAACAAATTGTTGTTATTAAGACATTTACAGTTTAGTCTCAATGTCCAGAAATGTTGGATTCAATTATTACTTAAAATGTAATCAGTAGTTTCATAAATAGCTTTGTAGCTTCTGGTGGTGGACAATGAACTTGGGGTGAGGCATAGGATGATATGTTTAGGGGAGAAGATGTGAGGGTATAGAATTAATATATCTTAGGAAATATAAAGGAGAAATCTAGTGAAGAGGGTTAGTAGCATGAGAATAGATAGGAGGTAATTTGGGGTAGACAGTAGAGTACATAAAACAAACACACATATAGTTTTAGAAAAACACAGGATGTTAAAATAGTATAATTTGGAGGGTAAAGAAAGAAGAAAGACAAAAAAAGGGAATGAAAGAAAGAAAAAAAGAGAGAAGAAAAAGAAAAAAGAAGAAAAAGGAAAGAAAAGGCTTACACAATTCCTCTATATTATATTATTCAGGTCACTCAGTCCTCAAAGTCCTATTTAATGCAAAGTTCTTGGTTTTACATGTTGGGGATGTGAGGGACAGAGGATAGAAGGGTAGAAGAGAAAGAAGAAGGGGAAAAAAATTACTCTTAGAGATCCATTTCTTTCTCTTCTCATCCAGTAGGTGTCTCTGCCCTCAGGGAATAGTGCCTCACAGGTCTTTTTTTGTGACCACTTGTCTGACTTGGGCCCTCAGTATGGTCTCCCTCTCTTGCCTGGAGATTTCTCAGATCCTGGTCTCTCTGTGATGCTCCAGACTTTAGTCTCTTCCCCTTTCTTACTTATCAGGTCCCAACTGTGGGACTGCTCTCTCCCACAGGCTCACACTAGGTGGGCGGTGCCCTGTTTGCACTGCACTCCTGCCCAACTGAGAGCTGATCTTGTGTTGGGTGGCCACTGTGCTGAGTTAACGCCATTGGGGAGGGGGAGGAATTAGAAATCAGGTACCTGCTCAAATGGTGATCTGATCTGACAGCAATGCCCACCACAAAATGGCGAGGAAGGTTTTCTAAGATGGAGTCCTCTGCTTCCAGTGTGTGGGGGGAGCTGGGCAATGGTAGCCGCAGAGTGACCTGCATGGGAGCGGCGCAGTCTGGAGCTCTGCAGAGGTGCTGGTGCTGGTAGGTGTTTCTGCTAAGCTGCTTGTGAGCCGTGCATGAGCTAGAACTGTGGGCTTTGGGTCTGGAGTCTGGAGACTTACTTGAGCCGAGAGGCTCTGATTTCTGCACGAGTGGTCATAGTACTGGTGATTTCTGCAAAAATCCACTGGCCCCTGGAGATCCGATCTGGGAACTGCCCCCACCTAATATGGCGAGAACATTGAGCCAAGATGGTGGCAGTCTGATTTCAGCAGGGGGGGGGGGGGGGGGCGCTGAGGAGGCTGTGAGATTGGGGGAGCTGGGCAATGGCGTTGTGCTGTGGGTAGGTAGCAGCTGAGTGACCTGCGTGGGAGCCAAGCGAAGTCTTGGTGATCTGCTGATGTGTTGATAGGTGATTCTGCTAAGGCGCTAGCTCTCTTTCATAGACTGGAACTTTGGGCTTTGGATCCTGCTTGAATGCCAGCGTCCCACTGGAACCTCTTCTTGTATTTTAGTAACTTAAGTTTTCTCTCTTTTTCTCTTCATTAGCATGGCCAGGGGTTTATCTATTTTATTTAGTTTTTCAAAGAACCAACTTTTTTTTTTGTCAATTTTTTCAATTGTTTCTTTTGTTTCAGTTTCATTGATTTCAGCTTCAATTTTAATTATTTCTTGTCTTCTACTGCTTTTGGTGTTGATTTGTTCTTCTTTCTCTAGGATTTTGAGATGTAGTGTTAGGTCATTTACTTGTTGACTTTTTATTCTCTCTCTTTTTCCCCCTCTGGTTGTATATAAAATATATTCACACCAATTTGTGTCTTCATACTGTACTTTGGATAATGATGTCTACAACATTCCACCATAATTTCTAACCCCCTGCCTCCTCCCTTCCCCTCCCACCCTTCTGCCCAATCTAGAGTTCATCTATTCCTCCCATGCTCCCCCTCCCTACCCCACTTTGAGTCAGCCTCCTTATGTCAGAGAAAACCTTTGGCACTTTTTTTTGGCGGGGAGGGCAGATTAACTAACTTCACTTAGCATTATTGAATGCACCAATGCAATAAACTTTCCTCTTAGTACTGCCTTCATAGGGTCCTAGAGACTTGGTATATTGTATCAGTTTTCTCAATTACCTCTAAGAATTTTTAAAATTTCATCCTTGATTTCTTCTGCTATCCAGTTATCATTCAGTTGTATATTATTTAGCTCTATTTATTACAGTAGCTTCTATTTTTATTTTATTGTTGATTTCTAATTTCATCCCATTGTGGTCTGATAGAATGCAGGGTATTTTCTCTGTGTTTTTTTTTTTTTTTTTGTATTTACTAAGAGTTGCTTTGTGGCATAAGATATGGTCTATTTTAGAGAAGAAGCCAAGTGCTGCTGAGAAGAAAGTATATTTGCTCATTGATGGGTGAAAAAAAATGTATATATAGTCTAATTATTGATTGTATTATTTAGCTTTATAGTTTCCTTATTTAGTTTTTGTTTGGAAGATCTGTCTAGTAGTGAGAGAGGTGTTAAAGTCACCCAGTACTATTGTATTGTGGTCTATTTGACTCTTGAAATTGAGAAGGGTTTGTTTGATGTACATAGGTACTCCATAGTTTGGGGCATAAATATTTATAATTGTCATGTCCTGCTTATATATACTTCCCTTAAGAAGTATGAAATGTCCTTCTTTGTTTCTTCTGATTAACTTTGGTTGGAAGTCTTCTTTATCTGAGATGAGAATGGAAACCCCTGCTTGTTTACACCATCCATATGGGTGATTAGTTTTTCCCATCCTTTCACCTTCAGACTGTGAATATCTTTGCCCATGAGGTAAGTCTCTTGAAGACAGCATATTGTTAGGTCCTGATTTTTAATTCAATCTGACAGTCTATGTCTTTTTATTGATCAGTTTAGGCTTTTAACATTCAAGGTTATTACTGAGATATGATTTGTATTCCCTGTCATTTTGATTTATTTCTGGTTTTTGATTTGTCATAGTTTCTCATTTGGTTGAATGTCCCTTTAGTGTAGATCCTTCCTTTGCTGGTTTTCACTTTTTTTCTACTTCATCCTCATGGAATTCAATCCTACACTACTCTGTAGTGTAGGATTTCTACTTGTGAATTCCTTTTTTTTTTTTAAAGAGAGAGTGAGAATTTATTTAATATTTATTTTTTTGTTTTTGGCGGACACAACATCTTTGTATGTGGTGCTGAGGATCGAACCCGGGCCACACGCATGCCAGGTGAGTGCGCTACCGCTTGAGCCATATCCCCAGCCCCATACTTGTGAATTCTTTTAATTTTTGTTTATCTTGGATTGTTTTAATTTCATCTTCAAATATGAAACTTAATTTTGCTGAATATAAAATTTTTGGTTGGCATCCGTTTTCTTTCAGCGCTTAAAATATATTATTCTAGGACCTTTTAGCTTTGTGGTCTGGGTTGAGAAATCAGTTGAGATCTGAATTAGTTTCCCCCTGTATGTAATTTGATTTTTTTCTCTCACAACCTTTAAGATTTTATCTTTATTCTCTGTGTTAGTAATTCTCATTATAATGTGTGTTTTTGTGGGTCTGCTGTAATTCTGTACATTTGGAGTTCTGTAAGCCTCTTGTATTTGATTTTCCATTCAATTCTTTAGGTTTGAGAAATTTTCTGCTATTATGTTATTGAAAAAGATTGTGCATTCCTTTGGTTTTTATCTCTGCTCCTTCATCTATTCCAATAACCCCAAAGTTTGGTATTTTCATGTTATTCCACAATTCTTGGATGTTCTGTTCATGGTTTCTTACCATCTTCTCCACATGTTCAACTCTATTTTCAAGATTATATATTTTGTCTTTATTGTCAGAGGTTCTGTCTTCCAAGTGGTCTAGTCTCTCTTCCAAGACAGGATCTCACTAAATTTCTGAGGCTGGCCTTGAACTTGTGATCCTCTTGCCTCCTGAGTCACTGGGATTACAGGCGTGCGCTCTGTCCATGCTTGTTTCTGTTTTTTATTACCTGTTCCATTCTTCCTCTAGCTCTTTCTTCAGTTTTAGCATGCAGAGCCTGATTGTCTTGGATGCTTGCTGCAGTCTGGCTGGGCACAAATCACGAGCCACTCCAGCAGGAACAAACTTTATTTCTTAACTCTACCAGCACACTCCACACACGCTCCCCGGGAACTCTCCCGAACACCACACGGCTCCTCCCGGAACCACCAACCAGAAATCCCTCCCCCGGCACTTCCCCAACCAATGGGAACTCTCCGGGAATCCCCGCGAGAACTCCAAAGTAGTAGGCCGAGGCAGGCAGACAGCAGGGGTCTAATATCCACAGCTTAACATAATCATTATCATCTCAATGGCTTGCCAGAACCACTCCGTTCTGGCAAAAATATCATGCGTC